CAATCATCAGATGCAAGTCTGAAACCGATTAACCGTAGGAGTCAATCCAGTCTAACCAACACAAAAATGGCTACAACTCAGTTAATTTTGCAGATATTTTATCAGACATCAGGGGAAAACCGACCCTTCCATGAAACTAAACAGTCATGTCAACTGTCATCTTAAATAAATTTATTTTTTATCCAAAAAATAAAAAATAAAAACATTTTGGGGACAAAATCCTGGCTGAAGTTATTGGATATAATGTATGTATATATAATATATATAAATAAGATCGGTGTATGAAATCTTTTACAAACCACGTTTCCCAGCATGCATTGTGTCTCGTTCTACTCGCGTTTCTTCGCTCACTGGCCTTCATGAGTTACCTTGACAACCAACCGCTCGTTTCCATGGCGACACCAACACGGAGATTCAGCTTTGAAAAGCGGCGGATATGGTTTGAGCGAGAGGAAAGTCAAGTTTACGATTTAAATACCGAACCTTCATGTGTTGGAAGGAGCTCCCCTAGAAGCTGTCACGGCTTTGGCACAGTTACCTTAGCGAAGCCGTAAAATAAATTTAATTTAACACTTTGGCTACCAGGCAAGGCGAACCGCTAAATGCTACCGTATAAGTTTTAAGCTAACGCTAACAATTATAATATTGATATAAAAAAAAAAATACTCAGAATGTTTGCATAACTTTCTGTACGGTAAACTAGAACACGCGAATATTATAGTAGTTAGTTTTCAACCTTGTGTAATAAAACGTGCCAAGTTTTAAACTTTAAATTAAACGTTGTGTGGATATCAAAATTAGCTAATTTAAGCTAACTTGTAACCTCATCTCACAGGATGTCGCTCAGTCTAGAAGACATGGATGACACAACGGCCATCCGACAGGTACGCAACTTCAGCTTTATATTTTTACTTTTATTCTTGACCACTTACACTTTTTTTTTTTTTGTATTAAATATCTTTTTCTTGGCTCTCTCCATCTCATGGCAGTTGCTTATGCAGTCTGTTTCTATATCTGGTGTAAGTGAGGAGTCATGGACAGAAGAAAACATGAAGCTCCTGGATCAGTTTATTTTGGACACCTTCATCCCATCTGTGGTAGTTTATGTGCACATATCCAGTGGGCTTCAGGTGGACTACAACACCCCTTTACCGGTACTTAAAAATGTTTTAAAATATGCTGTTTATTAATGAGTTTAATGCATGCACTTATGAGGTTGCCTGTTTATTAATGCCTGTGTGGGATTTATCGAGCACTGTTTGTTGCAATGCTATTCGCCATCATCAAATAACTCGGTTTGTACCAAAATCATTTGCATGATTTAAAGGTCTAGCATTACTTGAAGGAGTGCATATTACCAGCTGCCTTTCACGCCAGAGTTTAAACTGTAATTATGCTATGTTGAGAAAGTTATAGCTGTTTTAGGTCAAAGCCTGAAAAATAAATATCAATAAGTGCGATATTGTATAATCTAGTATTAATGGTTAGCTCTCATAGTTTGTCCATCCATCCATTATCTTTACCCACTTTTTCCTTTTCGGGTCGCATGGGTCACTGGTCCCCATATCCATCCATCACTGTGCGAGAAGCGGGGTACACCCTGGACAGGTCTCCAGTTTCTCGCAGGGACGCATAGAAACAATCATTCACTCTCTCACTCACACCTAGAGACAATTAGAGTTACCAGTCAGCCTAACATGCATGTTTTTGGTCTGTGGGAAGAAACCAGAGTACCCGGAGAACACCACCGCATGCATGAAGAGAACATGTAAACTCCACTCAGAAAGGTCCTCGGCTGGGATTCGATTCAGTGACCTTCTTACTACGAGGCAACAGCTCTGCCAACTGAGCCACCGTGCCGCCCGGATCGTAGAACAGCATAATGGATTGTGTTGTGAATAAAAGAAGGAAAAAGACAAAGTTGAGCTGTATGGATGCAGTTAGAGAGGACAGAGGATGCAGAGGACAGAGTGAGATGGAGGAGGATGTTGCGACTGAAGAGGGAACAGCTGGAATTTATTTTATTTTATTTTTTTTTGTTAATGGTAAAATTTTAGACTAAGCATATGTCAGTGATCAGTCCAAATTCTAGCCCAATATCTGTGCAGTTGACTGAGCTATAGCCATTTTGTGTTTTCGATTCTCAGTTGGGTGTTGCAGCCATCTTGAATGGAGTCGTCTCTAAAGGTTAATCAGTTGTAGATGTCATTGTTTTCTAAGAGTTTATTAAATTATGTCCACTGGTTTCTGAGATGCTTTGCGAACAGACAGTAAAAGCAGTATAACCTGCCTTCCGTCCTTCAGCAGCAAGCGCTAATTAACTGCAGGTTTTTTAAAATGATTTTTCTCCCATCAGTTTTCAAATTTTTTCACTTAATCTCTTATTTTCGTAGGAGGAGATGGTTGATGGGCTGTGCTACATCACCCGCATGCCAGGAGCCATTATCACAGAAGAAACGTTTGAGGCAGCCATTCAGTTTTACAGGATGAAGGGCGATACCCTCCACGCGCTGCTTGAAGACGTGACCTGCTTGCATGCCCCCCAAGTGGCTCTCAGCTTCTACAAAAACAAGAGCATCAAGGACGACTATACCAAGAGCATGCACTGCTTCACCGCCTGCCTTACCGGTGGGTACAGCTTCTGTGCTTTTATAAATAAAATATAGCGCAAAGTAACGAAAAAAGTTTTATTTTATTTACAATGCATTTAATTTTTAATCGTTTATTTTAGTTTCAAGTACAAGTGTGTTTTTTTTTTATCATATTTCTGTGTTTGAGCAGATGACTGGTATAAAAAGGCAGGCAACACGGTTCTATACATCCCAATGGAAGCCTTGCAATGCACTCCTACGGAAGCCTGCAAGGACAAAAAGCTCGTGCAGAGGATGGAGAGTGAGTTGAAGAGGCTTTTTACTGTAGATCTGTGAATCTTTTCTCTTTCTGTTCGAAACATTATTGAAACAACATCACATGTTCTTAAAGCGAGTGTTCAAAACTTCTGATGTGGCAAAGTTATGAACAATAAATATCTTACCTGTTATAGACACGTCTCCCCAATTTGAAGAAACAGCTCAATTGTGATTAGCTATCTAAAACAGGTATAATATTTATTAGGGATACCTTTCTACAGAATTTCAAAATAGCTTTAAGTGTTTTTTTTTTTAAATGAGAAACATTGTTCCATGGTTCTCACTAGCACCCGTACAGCTCAGGTTTCATTCATTTTTTTTAGTTTACTCGTCTAATTTTTAGTTAAAATCACTCTTATAGTATATTTTTACATATTAATCATTTTCTTAAATCCAACATTTTATTTCATACATTGTGGTTTTAACAATTCTGGATGCAATCAACCTTTATACTCTCATTTGCAATCAGGTCATTATTGCTTTCTGTTAAGGGAAGTCTGAGGTTGTCATTGTATGTTCCCATACAACGATGAAATTAGTTCTCTGCATTTAACCCATCGCACCTGAGATCCATTCAGATGGAGCAGCGGGCGGCTATGTAAGAGCCTGGGGAGCGATTAGGCATTAGGTGTCTTGCTCAGAGACACCACGACATGTGGGAATGGCTGAGAGTCGAACCAAGACTTTCTGGTCCCCAGTCGGCTGCTCTACCTCTACCCCATCTCGGACCTCTTAAAAGGCAAAGACAGATGTTTATGTTTTGTGCGTCTGTTTGCAGACAGGCTGCGGTAGCTCGGTGGTTAGTGCCACGTCTTGTAATCCTGAGGTAGCTGGTTCAAGCCCAGGTTGTGTCAGGAAGGGCATCCAGCGTAAAAAAAAAAGTCCAAATCCTTCATGCGAGTTTGTTCTCTGGTGACCTCTGGAGAAGGGAGCAGCTGAGAGAAACTTCTTCAGTCTGTCTGCAAAATATCTCATAAACTGCTGGATGAGTTGCAATGAAACTTTCAGGAGATAGATATTGGTTGTACCGTTACAACTGGATCATTTGTGGAACCAGTCCAGTTTTAGATATCCGCCAAAGCCAACTGACATTAAGGAACTAAACTAAACGGCTGAAACTCTGATCATTTTACAGGTATCCTTGCAGTTTTGCTGTTTAGTGTCTGAGCATCACTCCCAGCACATACTCATGCTTTGGGGCAGCTGTGGCTGAGTGGTTAGAGCAGTCATCCTCCAATAGGGGAGTTGGGGGTTCGAATCCACCAGCAGTCACGTGCTGAAGTGTCCCTGGGCAAGACACTGAACCCCTCATTACCTCCGATGTGTGTCCCATTGATGTATGAATGTGATCTAAAGCTCTGATTATTCTTTGTATAGATGTATTAGAGTGCTGTATGAATGGGTAAATGAGGCACAGATTGTTGTAAAGTCAGAGTGCTACACTTTATAGGTTATTTTGCTTGCATTTTTTTATTACATTAACTGTTGGTGGCAACCCCTGTCAGTCTGTTAGCAAAATATGTCATGCAACACTGCACAGCTTTTAATGAAACTCAGGAAATATTCTCCGCACTTTTGGAATTGCCTCAATTCTAGATGGCCCCAACAGCTACGCTATATGACGTTACCCAACAAATAAGTACTATAATTTACTCACGCAGATATGGAGCAAATTACTACATATTGAGTATATTTACCAAATACTTTGAGCTCTACAGATTGCACATCTTGTCTTAAATATTTGGCATAAATTGTAAGTCAACATTATTGTCTTATAAACCACAGGACAAATGGCAGTGAAACTGTCAGAAAGCATTTATTGACTTTACATCTAAAGCCGATTAACTTTTGGAGGCAACCCAACCACATTCACTTAACACTAACACATTTCATAAGATCTAACAATTTCACATAAGACCTTACTCAAGGCCATTCACCAGGTTTTACTGAAACATCTACAGCAACAGCTACAACCCTGTTCTTCTTCCACCTGCGTAATATTGCTAAGATTAGAAACATCTTGTCTAAAAATGATGCAGAAAAACTGATCCATGCATTTGTCACGTCTAGACTGGACTATTGCAATGGTTTATTATCTTGGTGTCTAAATACGTCTTTAAAAAGTCTTCAGTTGATCCAAAATGCTGCTGCCAGAGTCTTAGCTGGAGTTAGTGGGAGAGATCATGTCTCTCCAGTTTTAGCTTCTCTCCATTGGCTCCGTGTCAAATCCAGAATTGAATTCAAAGTTTTACTTCTAATCTACAAAGTTCTCAACAACCTAACGCCATCTTATATTACAGATCTTATTGTTCCATATTTTCCTAACAGAGCACTTCACTCTCAGACTGCAGGTTTACTTGTGGTTCCTAGAGTTTCCAAAAACAGAATGGGAGGAAGATCTTCCAGTTATCAGGCTCCTCTCTTGTGGAACCAACTTCCAGTTTCTGTTCGTGAGGCTGACACATTGTCCAGTTTTTAGACTTTCCTTTTTGATAAATCCTATAGTTAGAGTTGGCTTGTTATGCTGCTATAGGCTTAGACTACTGGAGGACAAATTGACCTCATTTCTTAAATTGAATTGTTTTCATTTGATATTATTTCTATCTTAACATGTGATTCTTGACCTGCCATTGTGTATCTGTTCCTACCAAACCCAACCGGTTGAAGCAGATGGCCATTTGTCCTGAGCCTGGTTCTGCTAAAGGTTTCTTCCTCATGAGGGAGTTTTTCCTTTCCACTGTCACCTTTAAGCTTGCTCAAGATGAGAGTGTGAAGAGGTTAAATTCAAAGCAGTCTGCTCCTCAGATAAATAATGTTATTAACTTACTTTTTTACGTATATATGAATGTGTCCGTGCACTGCCCTGAGGTGACTTCTGTTGTGATTTGATAAATAAACTGAATTGAATTGTCCCTTTTCAGCACAAGATGATTTGAGTTCAAAACTTTGGCATTAAAAGTGGCAAGAATGGGCATTCCTTACTTAAATACTATTTAAATAATTAAGTATCAACTTTTATTTCTTGAACTCTCTGCGGCTCTAGTTATGATGATCCACTGGATGGATCAGATCAAGGAGCTCCTAAACACCCAGCAAATAATGGAAAATAGGGACAACTATGGCCCACTGCAGGAGATAACCTTCTGGAAGAGTCGCTTCACCCAGTTGTCCGAGATCAGCAAACAGCTGCAAAAACCAGAAGTCAAACACATCCTGGACATCGTACTACTGAGCAAGTCTTTGTATGTTCAGGAGTTTTGCCAGCTTGCCACGGAAATACAGGTAAGCAGACAGACACTTTATTATTCCTAAAGGAAGTTCTAACATCCAGCAGCAGACACAACACAGGAACCAACACAGAACTTCTTATACGGCTGCTTTAAAGCCCCAAACTGCACCTATCACTGAGTGCCTCCTCCTGCCAATGAGGTCGTGGCTGGGGGACAGAAGAGTTCCCCATTCTTTTTGTGGAGCAGGACTGGGTCTATGACTGAATGTACTCCTCTACATGCTGAACATGTGTAGAGGATGATGGGCGTTGTTCAGGATGGAGGTCCCTTTGTCCAGGGTCCTTTTCTTTGCCACAGAGTCCAGCTCTGTGCCCACCAAAGAGCCAGCCCTTCTCTCCAGTCTGTCTAGCCTTGGCATGTCATTATTCCAGGTTCTGACACCCCATCACACTACAGTGTAACAGAGGACCCTGGTCATCACAGACTGGTTAAACAGCAGCTTCCAGCAGATGTTCAAAGATCCCAAACTCCGCAAGAAGTAGAGGCATCGCTACAGGAAGGGGACTTCCTGTAGATGGTATCTGCGCTCACCGTCTAGTCCAGTCTGTCATCTAATTCCATCCATCCATCTATGCATGCATTCATCCATCCATCCATTATCTTCCGTTTGTGCTGAAGTCAGGTTGTGGGGGCAGCAGCTTGAGCAGGGAGGCCCAGACATCTCTTTCCACAGCCACCTCTTCCAGCTCTTCCATCTCTTCTGGGAGGATTTCAAGGTGTTCCCAGGCCAACCGAGAGACGTAGTCTCTCCAGCATGTATTGGGTCTTCCCCGTGGTCTCCTCCCTGTCGGACATGCCCAAAGCACCTCCCTAGGGAGGCGCCCAAGGAGCATCCTTACCAGATGCCTGAACCACCTCAACTGGCTCCTGTCGATGTAGAGGAGCAGCGGTTCTACTCCGAGTCTCTCCTGATAACTGAACTTCTCACCTTTTCTCTAAGGGAGAGTCCAGCTGCCCTTCGGAGGAAACTCATTTCAACCGCCTGTATCCATGATCTCATTCTTTCGGTCACTACCCAGAGCTCATGGCCGTAGGTGAGGGTAAGACCATAGACCGACAGGTAAACAGAGAGCTTTGTCTTACAGCTCAGCTCTCTCTTCAGTCATAGGCATTTATTGATGCTGACCACCTCCACATCCACCCAATTATTCAACACAGGTTCAAGTATGGGCTTGTTTCTTCGAAAGTCATGCACCGTCTCCTTAGTCTTGGTGGTGTTCAGCTGCAACTGGTTTGCTCCACACCATCCTCCACCAGGCCCCTGTACTCCTCCAGTCCATCTCTAATACACCCATCACTGTGTCATCTGAGTATTTCTGTATGTGACAGACCTCAGAGTGACTTTATATTATATAGTTGTTTGGATAAATGTCAAACAAATTGTCTTTTATTGAGAGTTCTACCCACATTATCAACAGTAATTATTTAAAGACAAGTGAAGTCTGTAAATTCATGCATGTTGTTGTATTTCCCTGCTGTCCAGGAGAGCTCCCTGCAGGCTCAGTCAAACAAGACCTTCCTGTCCATCCTGAAGGAGCCCTGTGAGGAGCTTTTCCAGCTCAAGCCCAGACAAATCGTTTCAAAGCTGCAACACATTGTCAGTCTCATTCGTATCATCTGGATCAACTCCCCCCACTATAACGACACCGAGAGCATCGCTAGGCTCCTCTGCCAGGTACATGCATCATTCTTATTCAAGTCAGGTGTTTTTACTTGACCTCTTTTTCTCTCTGCTGTTTTTTTTTTTACTCCTCCACTCTCACACTCGCTTCTCCTATACGCACACAGTCATCGCTAGCTACACTTCATAAACGCCAGGACTTAGGTGGATCTCTTATTATTAAGCCTCATTATCACACGAGCCCATTGAGCTGAAGTACCTTGACACTGTGCATTCAGTAGAAAATACTTTATCATCACTTGTCTTTTTCAGGCTGTCTGATGAAAAAAGAAAAAGAAAAAAGAGAGAGACATCCTCATTCAGCTCCCACGCTTCCTTTTTAAAACAAACCGATGCAACTCTACGGTGTATTTACAAAGAGCAAGCCTCCATTGTGTAACGAGCTAAGTGATAGCCTCGCCTGTAAGAGCGGTGGGCTGTAACATAATAACTCCCACCCTGTTTGTCTTTGTTGTCGACTTTAAAAACATATTCAATAAAACTCGACTCCCTCAAACTGCATTCGTTCTAACAAACAACAAATATAAAGCCCTAAACAATCAGCTTTAAAAAGGCCAACTCTTTTCATCAGAGGCCTCTTTATATCACTTATAATTATTGACAAAGGGAGGGGGAAAAAAACTAGAATATTTCTGTAGAAATTGTGAAGTGTGCGCCAAAAGTTCCAACATCAGTTTTGTAATAACCAAAACTAACAATATAAGCGTTTATGTTTTAATACAAAAACAACAGACAAAGAACCAAGATCAAAAGAGATGTTAAAGCTTCTGACAGTGGCTCACTGGGGTCACCATGGTAACCACACACCTGCGTGCCACTTCCTGGCAACACACTTTATAAAGGCAGACAGAAACAGACTGAAAAGTAAGCCTAAAACAAACAGTCCGTGTGTGAAAACTAAACTGGATCTTACAAAATTATTCAATTAAATGAGCAGCAGAAGACACTAGTGGTGACCCACGAGTTTTTATGTTTCTACAGTGTTTTTTGTAGGAGAAATGAGAAGTTAAAATCTCTCCACGTGTAGTTTTGAAGGAATGATTTAAGCTAAAATATAACTGAAGTCTGTAAGCATTGATGTCCACTGTCCTCGTTCTGGGGCCTTTGAAAGATAAATACAGCGGTGAGATCACACTAGGTTTAAATCATAAAGTCTGAACTGTGATTGTGTAAAAACTTTAAAAAACATCAACTTTTTATTTATTCATACATTTTTATTTATAAACATTTATAAACATATTTAACATGTACATCCACTTCAGTCATTAGTAAAGTTTAAACGCCCCCTTTTTTGTTTTTACACAACAAAAATAAGGAACACAACATAAAAAAATAACACAAAGGGAGTGAAAGTGTTTTTTGTTACAATTAATTTATCAGAAATTACAAGGTCTAGATCTGGTGTGTGTGATTTTATATAAACCATCCATTTCTTCCAGTATAAAGTAAATGTGTCCTTTTTGTCATTTTGTCATTCAGCATGAGGGAAGAGGCTGCCTTAGTGCCTTTAGCTTTTTAGCTAGTGCAACTGTATTGTGAGCCGCTAGCTTAGCGTTACCTCAGTGCCGATAGGCGGTTGGGGTGCCCCACTTGTATAATGGTAGGGGAAACACTGGAGAGGGAGGGCCCCAGAAACCAGCTCACTTTGTGGGTGTGCTGCTTGTGGGACTGAGCTTGTTGTGGCTCCTCGGACTGATGAAGTCCTTTGGATGAAGGATGAATCGTCTCAACAACAAAACAAAACCGTCCAGATGACCTGACTGAACTTTGTTGTATTTTCTCCCTGGATTACTGAGCATGAACTTTGATACTTCTCTCTCCATCTTGTGATGTCCATCCATATGTTCAACGTTGGGTTCTCCAGTGAAAGCCAGTTCTTCGTGAGGGCTTTTTTGAACGCCAATAATAAAATGTCAAACAAATATTTGTCTATCTTTGGCCAAGGTGTCAAGGTTTTAGTTCAGTCACGTGAAAACTTTGAGTGATGCTTCTAATTAGAAGTTCATCTCAGCTCTTCAGCTCCAAAACAAGCTGGAATTTACATGTTTTGGCAAATTCCCGTTGATCTCCATTATTTTTATATTTTTGTCCTCACAGTTTTTGGACAAATATGTACGCACTGCGCTACTTATTAACTAAAGTCAGAGCACACTGTTTAGGATCAAGTAGCACATTCTGCAGTTTCTTTTTCTGTATTTATTTTAAAGTTCCATGACAAAATATTTGAACCCAAAACTAATAAAGGTGCTTTAATGCCTCTGCATTGGCACCATTAATGTATTTTGTAAATATTCACTATTACTTGTGATTACATTTCATATTGTCTCTGTTGCATAAAATCTATTCCAGACTTTTTAGACTCTTGTTTTTTCAAGAATGAGCTAAAAAAAAAAAAACGGTTTTAAGTTTGCCACTGAAACGTTTGTGTTCTGCACATTTTCAGATGAGTAACGAGATCATCCATCTGTGCACTCAAAGCCTCTCCCTGGACAAGATTTTCGATTGCTATTTGTCTTCCAGCAAGCAGGACCTGCAGGACTGTATCCACTGCTGCGTGTCCTGGAAGGAGACTTACCTGCATGTCTCACAGCTTCATCACAAGTAGGACAATCTTTACCTGGACACGGGTCCTTCAGTTATGTCCATCTTCAGTAGTCCCTCGCTACTTCGCGGTTCGTTTATCACAAACTTGCTCTATTGCGGTTTTTCAAAATAAGATTGCACATAACACACAATTGGGTAACTGATGGATGAGCCACACGATCGGCATGGATTTTTTATTCATAATAAATTATTTTAAAATATTTAGCACCTCCTGCACCTTTGTGCAGCCCATACTGCAGGATAAACTTCCTGCTGCAGCTGATCAGCTGCTCACCATGCGCAGAGGAGAAGTGGGCGTGGCCAAGAGCGCTTGCAGAGGCAGGGAGCTGAAATCATGACATTCTGTGTCTTTTAGAGTGTTTAAAGTTTAGAAACATTGCTTAGAACATTGCAAGAGTGTGGGAAGGGTTATATATATATATATATATATATATATATATATATATATATATATA